TCCTTTTTTAGTCAAAAATAGACATTTCCGCATTTCTCAGAATCACATCTCGTCTGGAGGGATGATTTCTATTGATTTTACACTTTTTTAATGTTTTTGGTTTTTTCGTTTATTTGTTTGTTTTTTCTTAGGTACTATACTACTTTTTGTTTGGTTTCCTGTATATCTTTAAGTGTTTTTGTTCACAAACCACTCAGGGAACGACGGGACGGCCAATCCCCCACCCTTCCTGGAACGTGAATTTTTGGTCTTAACAAGGTTAAAAAGCTATTCACGGGAATCCGGAAGGCTTCCGCGTTCCAAACTACCCTTCCGCCCCGGTGGTTAGGCCCTTATTATGAGCATCCGCTCGGCGCGGAATGCTCGTCAACGGTTCTGCCGGTCATGATGTTAAAAAGAACAATACCCAGGAGCGCCATAAAATCATCTATGTAACATTCGCCCGGAAGAACATATCGACGGAAAATAGTGCTAGGTTCTAAAACGACTGGCCATTGTCTAAACACAGCTCTACATGCTTTTCACCGTCTCTGCCAAAGCCAGTTCTTTCGGTGGTCTTCCTAATATGGGGTCAACAAAAAACTTTACTGTTTCCGGCTTCGATCAGAACGGCCTAATTAACTTAATTATATGCAAAAATAGTGAGCTCATGCTTGGTCTCAGTATCCCCAGACCACAAGGTCACTCCTAAAAACAGGGTTGCTACTCATTTATCATATTACTAATGTTTTTGTTCAGTAGATAAAAATCAACATCTCCGTCGAAGATGGATCAACCCTTTCCCTTATTTCCTAGCTTCTCACAATCTGAAAACGAATTTAGATGTTAATTAAATTCAACTCAGGACATTCAGGGAAGCTAAAAATTTGTATAAAACAGTTCAAGTTCCAATCCCGAGACCCTTACAGATTCTGGAATCCGGAGAAACAACACTCTTATTTCTTTCCGGAAGGCTGGACACGTCGTTCCAACACCCTTCCAGTTTCTTGTGAACTTCACCGTAACGATTGTAGCGGCACAACCGTTACAACTCGGAGTGGTTTCTGACAATTTCTAACCACAGTTTCAATCTTCTGCCGTTTTTTCGTAGTTGTTGTCGCTGAGACTACTGTGGTTCTGATTTCGCAGTTTCAGTGTGTGCGAAATGATAAAAGGTTACGTGTCTTTCACGTCCAAATCGATTAGCATGTCAGTCAAAACTAACCCCTCCCGATTCGTCCAATCGTTCAATTAACGTCACTAATTCATCAAAACCATAAATCTTCCCAGGTAGACGTTCCAATATAAATTGGAATACGAAATTGCATTTTGACCATTCTGGTCGATTGTCACAATGTTGTCTCTAGGGGGTCGAGCCTCCGATTCCGTGCTTTTTCAGTAATAACGTCGTTATTACTCCCAATTCGTGACACGAGAGGGTACTGCTCCTTCCTTCCACACTGAAGCCTCCTGTCAGTCAATGGTCTCCAATTAGTTGTCTTATCGTGCGCGATCGTCACGATAAGAGGCTTCGTTTTTTATATCGTTCTCGTCCGACTATCTCTCACTAATTCGGTTGTTGTTGTGTTTTTCGTCACTTTTTTGTCAAAATTGGACATTTCCCGCATTTCTCAGAAATAGACTGTCTGCAATCGAACTTTCGAAAATAAAAGATTCCAGAATATTCTAGCCTCCTTTTCAATCATACACGATCACTAAGGCCTCTTATGTCTTTTTCGTGCTGCGAAGGAAGGTTCCGCTGTGCCAATCCGGTGGAATATCACATATTTTAAAACCTAAGTATGGGGGCGTTCTTATTTTCTAGAGTGGGGGGGGGGGGGGTATTTTGGTGGTGGCCTTAAAGCTGCAACAAGGGTTTTAGTCTCATGTCGCTTGGCTCCGACCGCTTGAGGTAGAAAAACACAAGAGATAGTTTTTCTGACTCCTGAGCCAATGGTTATAGGGCCTATGTTTCTTTAACCTCATATGTGACTTAAGTAGGCGACTGTTACAATGGTGATTTAGTGGGATTATTCAAAGAAGTTTTTAAGAGGCCAATTAATGAAACTTTCCAGTTGCGGTAATGCCTGTACCTTTAAAAGCCAAGCAGAACCATCCAGGAGTTGAAAATCATGCAATAGCCCGAATTCGACGCTCATCCTCATTTAAATCAAAGACTAAAGTTAAAACAGCGGTGGCAATTTTGTCTGTTGAAAAGAAACAAAAGCCAGCAATTCACTTGGGGACTCCTTTCCGAAAGACTAAACTGAAGGTAACTAAATGCAAACCATTTACTTTCGAACATGGAGTTGAGGCCGAGCCAAAAACTATGAAAGCTAAAACGATAACAGTGGATATAAAACAAGATGCTACAAGTTCAGTTCAACGAGATAAATTAATTTCGATGGAAGTCGACTCAAAAGAAAACAGTAATCATACTGCAAGTACAAATGAGAAAGTTCCAGTCAAAAAAAGGGACATTGCGCAAAAACGATACAGAAATCTATTTGGATAGAAGCTCCGATCTGTGACTTAAATTTTGTTGTTTGGTTGTATTATGGTGATTTTTGATTTGTTAGAATAGTTTTGCTGAAATACCGTTTTTGACAGCACATTTCAGGCAATGGGAAACAGCTGCGCATACTTCGATCACATTATTCAATACAACTGGTGGAAAGCGAGGCTGAATTCAATCTTTTTTCCTGGTTTGAATTTTGGTTTCCTTCTAAGTTCAATCGTAGTTCATTTGGTAAGAGGGAGGCTTTACGCTTTATAATAACAAAGTGGTTCAAAGAATTTTAGTTGTTAGATTTCCCAGCAGGATGAAAAACAACTGTGATCCAGTTTTCTCAAAATGGGTAGTGTTATTTCGCTTGCGATCAGCAAGCGTTGTCAAATCGCAATTTAGACTTTTTATTGGGTTCACAACTAGCTCAACAAAATCAGCTCAAAATCATGAAAGTTTAAATTGAACTACTGGCTACTAGTTGCTACTGAGTACTGGTACATGTTATATCTAGAACTAAAACCCATAAGATAATTAATTTGAATATCATTTTTATATTAGTTTTTTTAATTAATTTTTCTATTACTTTTCTGCTCAGGATTTTTTGGCATCATGCTTGTCGACTTAATCTCCGTCGGTTCAGTTTCCGATTTGTGTAGTCCTTAGCCTACACTACTTATATACAGCTATCGTGTGCGTTACATGTAATTTTACCAGCATAATTTTTTGCCGAAAATTACATGAAAAAATCTTCGTTGTAACATCGTTCGAAGTTCTTTTTGCTACTTTTGAGCGTTGCGGTCTTTCATCCTACAAGTGGAGCTTCGCCTCTGTGTTAAAAATTATTTATGATAAAATCTATTATCTATTTACTTATCTACTTCCACTATATATTCAAATGCGGGCTTCACTATCTCGCCATGTTTATGCTTTTTCAACGTATTGTTTTTGCATGTTTAACGAAAGAATTTTTGCACGTTGAAGCTATACCGTATTTTGCAATGGTTAAGAATTTGTCTTGCAATTTTCCAGCTTGACTTCAATGTTTTGTTTTTGTCAAGTTTGAAATTAGCAACCCTAAAGCGAGATGCTGCCAAGGTTACCCTAGGGGCTGCAAATCTTGCATCCAAGTGTGACTGCTGTCAGTTGTCAGTTGCTGCCGAGGTACTCTTAGGGGCTGCACAGCTTGACCGCAAAAGTGACTGCTCAAATGCTTTTTCTTTTCGAGATTTGAATTTTTTCAATGTTTTTTTTTCAAAAAAAAAAAACGAATTGTAAAAAGTGTTCTTTGGCTACTCTTAGAGGTTGCAAAGATTGTCCCCTAGTTTGGATGTTCAAAATTATCTTAATTTCTGAGATATGCTGTTTTAAATCTTTTTTCAAACATTTTCTGCAAACTAACGATCTAAAAAAGTTTCTAAGCTCGAAATACTCAACTTTATCTTCTTTGAAAATTGCAATTTTTCAAATATATACTTTTTAAATTTTGAAATTGTTGACCCTTTGTGTGGTGATGTCAGGTTTCTATCAGAGGATGCATTTGTGGCCTCTCCTCGTAATATTATGGCTCAAATTTTTTTAAGGATTTTTTCTGATATTTGAAAATTTATTGCGATGGATTATGAAACCCATTTATGAATTTGATGATTTTGCAATTGAGCTTGTTTTAATTTTTGTTTAAAATGGAACGTGCAGTTGTATGTTGTCGACTATTTTAGATTTTCCCTTTCTAAGATCTGACACCCAATAGTTTTGGTGATTTGACCATTTTAGTTAAGAAGACCTTTAAGTAAAAAAAAATTTTTTTTTGTTCAAATTTTGAAATTAAAAGCGTTGTCGGATTGCCACTGGATGTCTTTTTTTTGGCCGAGAGGGCAGGTCGTGAGACTCAAGGTTTCGAGATTGCAGTTTCGAAGCCCATACGTCGCAAAGCTTGTCTAATTCGAGACTTATTTCTGTTTTTTCTTATGTCACTTTATAAAGCTGCTTTTTTGTCGTGTTCTCGCTAGTGTGTGCGACGCGCAGCTTCGCTTCTGTCATTTATTGTTATTCTTTATTATTGTTCCTACAACTGAAAATGGGAAGAAACTTAGTTCAGCTTTTTTTTGAAAGTCAAAAATTGCATTTTTTCATGAAAAAGGTTTTTTGGATACCTTGTTCAATGAGCGATGAATCATTAGTTCACGCATCAAAAAAAACTTTGGTGTATGATTGATACCTCAATAGGGTACAAGAAAGTGGTAATGTCAAATTCGTAGAGCACAAATAGGGGTGATCCGCTGAAAATGTATCTGAAAGACGGACGGATATGCTTGGATCAGCCTTTCCCGATACTGCGATAATTTTTCTGAAGTTTTTTTTTGGAATACAACAATACAAATCATGATGGTAATCTGAAGTGCGTTAAAATGTGTTATTGTTCGTTCCCAATTCGCGAAGTGGTCGGGGAGCAATAATTAAAGAGCCGGCCTGGAATTTGAGTTTTAGTACTTTGTGTAAAAATATCTTCAGATATAAAATGCCGGCGCCGAAGCGAAAGTCCGAGAACGGGAAAACAGCTGCAGTTGGTAAAAAGGCGAAGGGTGGGAAGGAAAAAGCCGAAGCAGAAGAAACTAAAGTCTACACTTTGCAAATTAGCAAAGGCAAAGGGGACCCGAATCAATCAGAAACTGGAATTTTAATATCCGGTTTGATGGTGTCTGAGCATATTGGTCGCGTAAGAGATGGAGTAAGCAGCCAATGTCTATTTTTACCTCACAGAATTTCTGGATTAAATTCAGTTAAAATTGACCAAATCGTATCTCATTGTTCTGCGGCTCACGCTGTGTTAATATCGAGCAATAACGAAGTGTTTGTGATGGGAAGAAACGAAAATGGTCAGCTTGGCATTGGAAAAGAAGGAAAGGGAACAGATGTTCAGTTGCCTACCAAACTTGATCAGAAGTTGTTTGATGACCAGAAGATATCAAATGCAGCTTGTGGTAAAGGACACACTTTGTTTCTGTCAACAGAAGGAAATGTTTTCGCGTGTGGCGATAATTCTCAAGGTCAGCTTGGGATAGGCGGTTCCCTTACAAGTATGACTCGGCCAAAGAAACTGAGTTTTGAGCCGACAGTTAAAATCGTCGCTTGTGGTCAAGCATTTAGCATGATCGTAGATATTGCAGGCGGTCTTTATTCGTTCGGTTTCTCGGAGTACGGGCAACTGGGCAATGGTTCAGATGGAAAAACTCTCGGAAAAGCGAACAAGTATGTTTTCAACAACGCACTGAAGCCAGAAAGAGTGATCAGATTTGTCATGAAAGGTGAGAACGTCAAAGAAATTCGGGATGTTGAAGACGTATCGATCAAAATGGTTGCTTGTGGCTACAATCATACGATTGCGTTGGACACTGAAGGACGCATATTTACCTGGGGATGTGGCTTTTACGGCCGGTTGGGACATAACAGCACTGTTGACGAGTACTATCCTAGACAAATCATCAGCTTCTTACATTTCAAGACATGTGAAATAACAGGTATTCAAGCTAGTTCAACGTACACTCTTGTAAGTATGGCCCACAAAATGATGTATTTGTGTGGTCAAATAAAATCTTCATCGAGCGCAGCTGAAATGTACTTCAAACCTGTCATGGATATTTCTGGATGGCGAGTGGACAGTATTGGCTGTGCGAATAAATCGATCCTAATTGTTGCCGACGAGAAAGCAATTGCATGGGGTCCTTCGCCTGTATACGGCGAACTGGCCCTGGGCGATGGAACCGACGGAAACACGAAGTCTTCGGCTAATCCCAAAATCATTCCAACTTTGGAGAGGTTCGTGAACAAAAAAGTGGCTTGTGGAAATATGTTCACGATTTTCATGGTCGACTTGAGCAGCAAAAAGGAAAACGAAGAGGAAAAAAGGAAAGAATTTGAAGAAAATGTGAAAAAGTTTAACGAATTTCCGCTGTATTGCGGCTTTAAAGAATAGCTGACTGTTTTTATCGTATGATTTCAATTGTCGTTTTATTGTTGAAAGTCTCGTAATAATTCCGATTTGATCTCGTGAATTTGAATTTGTGCAATAGATCTTTTCTCAAGAGAATTTTACCAGTGACCTCTATTTATTTCGTCTACAATTGTAATGAGTTCAATAAGAATTTTAATCTGTCTTTTTTGTGTGTTTTTGATGCTATTTATTGATGTCTGAATTACAGAATTTTGTCTGATGCGTAAATTATGAGTTTTTGTTTCATCGTTTTCTCAAAATTGCTTATTCGAACCAATAGATGGAGACTTTTTGCTCTGTATTTCTTCAAAAATATCAATATAGAATTATGTGCAGATTATCGCTGTTGTCATTGAAACAGCTGAAACACGCTTTTACGAAAACAGAGTTTTGGATATTTGCTGACCAATTTTTTATTGAATACTCCTTAACTAAAAAAACTTGATTGTTCAAATTGATTTAAAGGGAGTGAAAGTGATCAAAGATTGAAAAATATGAATAATTATAAGCATTACATAGCACCATCTAAGTGAATTTCAAACAGTTACATTTTTCGAGCTTTCAACTACTATTTTCATTCTATAACTTCGTAGAAATTACTGGCACTGTCGTCATTAGGAGAATGAGTATTATGTTGGCTCAGCCGTTTTCCGGTGCCAGTGAAACATTGAACGCTTCGTGGGGCTATTATGTACCTCGAGTAATATTCTTCCTGACTCATATTAGACACCGCTTCTTCTGATTCGGTCGTGACGTCATTGCTATCGTAAGTTACGATGTGCATATTGGCCAAACATATCTCTCTGTCTCTTTTGAAGTTCCGGTAATCATAATTAGTCATCACAGGTCGACCATTTTGAGGAGTTTCAAAATCGGTAGCTTTTGAAGTGACGCTACCCGAAGGAAAACAGTGAGGATATTTTTCGTGCATTCGTCGTTTGAGTAACATGACGCGAAGTTTGTCATCGTTGTCATTTGAATCGCTGTTTCCGCAAGAGCGAATTGAGGATTTTTCCTCACTTTCAGAAGTGTCACGTTGACTGAAGATTGAAGAGCAGTCGTTGATTTCTTTCTCTTTCAGTCTAAACAGCAGCCAGTCAATTCTGAACTGAATAAGTTGCGCAGTTTTGACTACCGAGATCCAACGCATTAATTTGTAAAATTTCAGTGCATTTTAAGTTATATATATAGAACTCGATTCATTTTATGAGGAATTTCATCTCGACTTTGGTAGGAAATATTTTCATCCTTTTCTTTTCTTTCGAAATTACATGTTAGGAAAATGGTTGTTTGGTTAGTGTTTCTGATGGATGATATCGTTAAAGCATTTAATTTGAATGTATTTTTTGTTTTTCAAAATGTACACCTCAACTATCGTGTGAACCTTAGCAAACACGAAAGACGCTCATTAGCCTTCTTGGTTGTAACTCTTTTCGCTTCCCCCCCCCTTCCCCCACATTCCAAAATGTTCTATTTTTTTTTAGTTGTCTGTGTTATTATGGCTGAGTGCATTATACTACAAGAACAAATATTTTCATAAAAGCTTAGTTGTTCACCATGCATAATTTCATTAGATTACGACAACGTAAAAATAGTTTTTCAAAGCTGAAATTCAAATTGTGGGAGTGGAAAAGAGCCGCAATGTGCAACGTCAAGTTAGTTAGTACCTAATGTAGAAGTTTCGTGGAAGTGACGAAGTGCAGTTCTCTTCCATGTCTCTATAGGCAGCCTTTCCTTGTCCCTCAATTCCCATTTTGTCCCCAACTCCTCCCCCTCCCAAATCCGGATACTCTCTAGTGTACTTCTGGAGCAGTCTGTACTTCCTACGCATCGGCACTGGACTCTGTAAAATGGAAGTGATTTTATATCCGTCAAATGAAATAGAAAATGAGAGCTTAATCTTTCAGTTATTTCGATAAAATAACATGAATATTGATATAAATATTGTCTCGACATGGTTATGTAAATGTCTACCAAAATGGCCAAAGTGTCTTCCAAATTCAGTTCCTAATTTTTCAAGATAGTCTATATATTTAGGATGAATGTGTATTCTATTGAGGGGGCATCAATGACTATAAATTTAGGGCGAATTGTTATTGTTTTGAGGGTTGGTATGAATGAAACATGTGACTTGGGTCCCTCTCTTTTGCTGTACCTGTATGGGTGTGGTGTGCATGCTGGCACTTCGCTCCACACACCTGTTGAGTCTATCCAGACTACCACTCACCTCCCCCAACATCCCATTCACAATACTCAGCAGGTCCCCAACCGACACTTCTGAAAGGTCAAAAACAATATGAATTATCATTAAGAGTCGATGAACTTAGTTCACACTCTTATATAGGTCGCGATGATTTTTTTTGTTTTTTTTAGGAAAAGTATTAAAATTTGTTCACGCTCAAAATTTACTTCTTTGCTGTTTGACTTGTGATTTCTTTTCAAGTTCAATGCATTTCGACTGTTAAAAGAAAGGCAAACTCCACTATTGTACAGCGGAAGTGTAAAGGTCACGACGAAAAAGGTGATCGACTTCTACTTTCGAAAGTGGAATTTTACCAGCGAAATAAAAAAAATCACCTATTTAACTGTCTGTTGGCTATGTTCTTAGAGTTTTTTCTGAAAAGGAAATCATCTTATGTTTGAAGGAAATGAAATAAAAAGCGATGAAATAAAAAGCGAATAAATTATTCTAGCGATTGGTCATTGTCGGTTGAAGATCCTATTTCCTCAACCCCTCTGAAAAATCTGTTCTACTCTCACACCAACCGATTGTTTTTTTTTTTCATGCTTCTATATTTCATGGGTTTTAGCAAATAAATCAAATTCAATGATTTCTCATAACTTCCGCTCAATTTTTTGTAAGAGTTAGTTGCTCAAAATTTGTCTAATGGGTTTTTCGCCTAATGTAAATGTGGAAGTATTAAAATGAATTGTTGGAAGCAAATTTTCCATCCATGGTTTCGCTTTTAGTTTTATTTCAGGTCCACTTGTATGGTATAACAACTAAATTGTGATGGATTTCTACGGCGGTCGAAGCAACTCAAGGCATCTAGACGGTGCCATGGGAATGCATTCGGCAGTCGACAATTCCTCCCCTCTACGACGAAAAGCAACGGATCCTTCGCGTCTCGGACCCATGTCGATTATAAATAAAACTGAACCTTCATTCAATGGTCATGTTCCGCGTTCGTCGACTTTTCATGACATTGAGTTCGAACCGAGAGCAATAATGACTCGAGAAGTCGAATATAGTCATGAAACTCCGATTCGAGAAAATTATTCAAAAATGCGTCGTATTCGGAGTCCCGAACCAACTCGAAGCATCGGCGAAGTTATGGCTGGAGTTTACTACAACACACTGTCGGATAAGGAATTATCGTCGGAAAAACGTATCTTCAAACTTGTTTCGATTCTCAAAAAACGAGCGACATCGTTTTCTCTTGACGCTAAGCAATTGCAAATGTTAGTTGAAAAGTTTCTCGATAAATTGATAGCAGATAAAAATTGGTCTGCGATGACTGTTGAGAAAGCATTGCTTTTATGTGCTACTTTAGATGAAGATTTTGATGAAAACGTCGAACTGTGTGATTGGTTCGAGTGCAAATTTTGCGAATTAGCTCACCCTCCTGGAAAATACATTTGCACTATGTGCGGTGAAAAGTTTCAACACGAAGTTTTCCTACAAGCCCATAAAATGACATCTCATAATAGCGCTGCAGTGATCACAGGAATTGCTTTGGTATGTCAGGCATGTAATGTTAATTTCAACGAAGATCCGAGGCAACTTGCGATTCATATACGAGAAAAGCATATGTGTCCCTATAATCATATTGAGTGTCCGAAAAAGTGCGGCGAGTTAGTTGTTGAAAGACATATCGAATCGGTTTCGGATCATATAGCTGAGAAGCATGAATGTTCGGTGTGTCATGATCCGATCACGAGGAAAAACAGTGATCAACATAGATTCACATTTCACGGAATTTCTCCGGATTTAGTTAAAAGTGTCAATAAAATTTTGTCAAGTTCAAGAAAAGTTGACATTGTTGAAAATGCGCCAAAAGGTCAAGAGTTGGTCATTCAAAGGGAAATTCCGAAGCACGAAATCAATCAAGCTGTTCTGGAACAACTTGACGATACAGAAGATGAAGATCCGGATAGAGGAAAGTTCTCGAAATGTTTGGATTGCAGTTTAAGAGTCCCGTTTGGAGGTTATAAATGTCCTGATTGTTCTCAAATGTTCATGTACAGAGTGCAGCTTTTCTTACATTTTCGAGATTTTCATCGAAAAATGTCGAGTTTCTCGTTGTCATGTGAAATTTGCGGAGATCTTGCAATGTCTCTTAATGCGCTTTTAGTTCACGTTATCAAAGAAGAACATGCATGCAAAAGTGAACATTTGCAGTGTTCTTACGGATGCGTGAACTTATTTGCAAACTTGAGTGACCTTGCGATGCATAACGATGAACAACACGAATTCTTTTGCCCTCATTGCAAAAATGTTGTAGCTGTGCAAAGCAAATCGACGCATACTAAAAACTGCGTCCGAGGAATTAGAACGATAACTGACGAATCAGAGACCCCGCCGGAAAACTTGATGGAAAAATGTGTAGCTTGCTTGTTTCAATGTCCGCAATCAGTTGCTTACATGTGTGAAATTTGTGCAAGTTCAACAACAACCGGTAAAGTGGCTGAATTTGTCGATGAAATAGAATGGATGGCTCATATTTTAAAAGAGCATAAAGAGCAAAGTGCGGCGTTTAGGCAGAGAACTCTAACTTGCGCTTTGTGTCCGGAAACTTCTAATGATGATGCTTTTGACATTTTGTCCTTTTTGCACCACAGAAAAATGTTTCACTCTATTTGTGACACACATCGGAGATGTCCCAACCGACCATGTAGTGCAATACTGCCCGAAAAGGACTCAGAATGTTCCGAGCACTTTAAAAGTGGATGTATTTTCAAATTTGATCTTAGTAAAGCTCGAAGAATTGAATTTGAGAATCCTACTTGGAAAAGTTGCAGAAACTGCACTTATGTTGTGAATGTTAAAGCATTAATGTTCTGTGATTTGTGCACGGATGCACCGTGCGCACCTTTCGTAACTTCAACTGAATTCGCACTGCATATGGTCAAAACGCACGGAATGATGACTGACCGCTCGTATAACTGTGCGCTTTGTCGAACAGAGTTTGGCAATATCGATGATTTTGCTCAACACAGAGCTATTTTTCATAAGTTTTGCGTTCATCATTTAGTATGCCCGAAAACTGAATCGTGCGCATTTTTATTCGGGCTGGAGTTTGACGGAACTTTCCATGCGAGAAATGATAACTTTTGTGCAGTTCAAATCCCGCACGGACGCAAAAACCGAACCAAGTATTGCAATGTGTGCTCGGCTTTTTACAAGATGACCCTCATCAATGTGTGTTATTTCTGTTCTGACCGACCATCTTTTGTCTCGGATAACGAGTACCTTTTTCATCTGCTAGAGGTACATGGTCGAAAGTTAGCGGGGAAAATTGCTTGTGCTGATTGCAGTATGACATTCGATGAACCTTTAAGTTGGAACCAGCATTCAGTAGCAATTCACCAACGGTGTATTATGCATAAGTTCTGTCCAAATAGCACAGAATGTTTCACGGTTTTCCCAAGGAGTGAAATATCGTTTGAGCATGCGTGTAGCTATGAAAACGTAGTTCAAACCCCGATGATACCTCTAGTTAGACCTTCGAGACCTCCGTTGCGACCGACAGTCACGAGACGTCAGATGTTGCCGGAGCCCTCAGTGAGAGTCACTCAAATGGAAATTCCAAGCGCAAATAGCAGATCGATGATGAGTTTTCCCCCGCCTCAAGCTTTGTTCGGACCCTTAAATGTCAGGCCTCCGCAGCCAATTGTTCATAACCCGCCTGCTATGGTTCCTTCGAAAAAACCCATTCCCCAGAAATCAACCAGCAGTCCGCCAAAAACTGATGCTAAAGTGAAACAATCATCAGTGGCTCCAAAAGATGACAAAATGTCGTACACTGATAAGCAAAAAGCGTACACGAATTTGTTGAAAACAGCCAAAACTGTGTTTTACTTCTCGCGAGCAAACTACGAAGCGCAAGCTGACCGAAGCGTGAACGCGAAATGCAGCACATGCAAAGATGCTTGGTTTTTGCATGTCTACGACGCCCATGTGCATGCTGATGCAGTACATGGTATTGAGCACGATGAAAATGACATGTTCGAATGTGATGTTTGCTCTGAGAATAATAAGTTTCGAACCAAAACTGCAAAAGCAATGACTGAGCATCGAAAACAGTTCCATGAATTACCAATGCTCTTGCTGTGTCCTAATTTAGAGTGCACTAAGTTATTCGAATCTATAGAAAACGTGAGCCAGCACAAAGGCATGTCAAATCGTTGCATGCAGTTTTTTGACGAGGTTTTCACGTGGACTCATAAAACAAAACGAGGTACAGCAATAAGACCGATTTCTCAATTTAGAAAACAACAGTTTATTGTCAGCTGTGACAAGTGTCCATTGGAGTATAAAGTGTCTGATGCTACGAATTTTGCACATTGCAAAATTTGTAAAATAAGGCCTGTTTTTCTAATGGACGATGAAAGGTTCTGGCACATGGCCACGAAACATCAAAAAGAGAGAACTCATCAAAGTCGATGCCAACTTTGTCCGAGCTCAGATGAAAAGTATGGGGCCAAAGAAAAAGGTGATCATGTTTTGTCTCATCACGGAATCTGTTCGGAGCATTTTGTCTGTCAAATGAATAATTGCTTTTTTATCACCTCGGATCTTGCGGAGTATGAAGCTCACATGAATGGCTGCATGGATCACACTGAGCCTCACAATTGCAGGTTATTTGAACCCGGAAAATGGAAATCTGTGCTGAATTCTTTAAATTCAACTGATCTTGGTTCGCATGTAAAGGCGATGCCATCTTCGCAAACTGATTCTAAAACGAATGTAGTTGCTCTAAGGTCGTTAGTTGATTACGAAGATGAATTGACAATTGAAGAAGAAATTGATGGAAATAGCGATCAAAATGAGGTCAAAAGGTCAAACTGGGACGATATGATGAGTGATATGATTATGTACACTGATGAATTGATGGAGAATAAAGAATCGGATTCGAAAGTTCTAGAAGGTTCTGGAAGTGTGATCAAACACGAAGAGATTGAAAAAGCTGGTGATGCAAACAATGCTGAAATTGGGACCAACGAAAGTAACGAAACCAGAATGAAAAATTCGGCAGCAACAACAGATGAAACTA